GTGTGTGTGTGTGTGTGTGTGTGTGTGTGTGTGTGTGTGTGTGTGCGTGTGAGAGTAAATTATTAATTTTGCTCATCGCGAGCATTTTAACATTAGATTTTTTATTGTATTCTGAATATTATAAATTAAGCATTAGAATGTAAAAATTGAATTATTATTGATCGGACGAGTTGAAATTACCTTTACTATACCCTTGGCTTCTTAGCAATCGATAAAATGACATCGATACATGGGGTCTGCTGACATGTATTATAATGATAGACTAGCAATTTACATGCGTATATAGTATATTAAGTAAACTTCGTAAAGGGCGCGGCAATTTTCCTTTAATCTTCGCTAGATTGCATTCCAGGCAATTCGGGGCCATTCGATATTAAATTTTCAGTTTCTCTCGTCTGCCAGGCGATATGTGGAAATAGTAATATTATCGCAAATAGAAAGCCCTCGAGATCGATGTTGCAGTGATTTCATTCCTTTTTTGCGACCTTTAAATTTTGTTTAATAATTAATCTTCGTAGAGCTGTTATTCGAGTCTCAACGGATGCTCCCAGCGAGTTTTTTTTTTTTAAATATTCATTTTTGCAAGCTGCCAAAGGCCATAATTGATACGCCCATTCTTCGTTAATAAACGTTTTACGTCTAGTGGACGTGGTCACACAAAAACTTTAGTTTGTCGAGCAACTTCCGGCTGTAAAACTTCTACGCCAAAGGTTACTTGCTAATCATTTTATGCACGTAATTAATGAGTAATAAATATACTCGCTCTGCAATCTTTTTTGCAGTTGTTCCTATTTTGATCTAAATATTTTACAAAATAGAAATTGAGTTTTATAATAAGAATTTTATTGATTTTAGATTAACCGTTAAACTCATTAACAACAATTAAGTTTTAACAATAGATTCGATCGTGATAAAGATCACTTTCTGATGTTTTAAAACTAGTTAACGATCTAATCTCATAAAGATAGCCGCTTATTCGAAATAAAATTAAGATTCAATTAAGATTGGGATTTAATTTATTCCCAAAATATTTTGATAAGATTAGTTTTTAGAAACGCTGGGAAGGTTTAAACGAGCGAAAATCGCTTAGAGAGTCATAGGTTTTTCTTAAGTACACGAGACAATGATTAACCTTTAACTGGTAAGCTTATCTTTGACAGAGATTATTTAAATTTCACGCGACAGTGTCGTGCAAATGTCGCGTGGGGTGTCGCGTTCGCATTCTGTTCCTGTTCCCCGTGGGAGGGATGAAAGTACCGAAAGCACAGATCCTGCAGGTGAAACGACAGGCGGTTAATGTACGAAGGAGCGAGGGATTAACACAACTCCGCGTGTCGAACGAAATTACCGTCTCGTGCCCGTCGTGCAACCCCCAGAAACTGCATATTCATGTATACGCCGCCGGATTATCCACCGTGTATACGACGATCTAATATTTCGCTGTGTTATTAATGCAGTCGCTGGTATACTCCGCCATGATTCCGGCTGCTTGCAAAATCGTCAGGCGTCCCCGGAGATTTGCACGCGTATGTATGTACGTCGACTACGTCGCTTATATTTCCAAAGAAAGGATCTACTTATGATTCATGTTATTGTAACCGTCGTATATTATTATATGCATTTCATTTGCAATACGATGTATTTGTTCAACGCAGTGAAAATAAGAATTAATGAGGTTGTACGAAACTGAATTCCAATTATAATTAAGCAAAAAATCTACTCTGTAAATTTCATAGAGTGGTTTCACCACTAATATATTAGAGTGATTGCGATAGTCACTCTAAAAGAGAGAAATTGTCGCTCTAATTTGAGTAAATGCGGGCACTCATAAGGTAAGAATGAATTCTTCACTCAAATTTTTAGAACGACTGCTCTAGTAATATGACCTCACTCTAAAGTTACAGTGAATCACGCTTCACTAAAAATCGACTGATAAATGATTCTAACAGAGTGAAATTTTTCACTCAAAGTAGAGTGACATAATTCACTGCTATAAACACTAATCTACTCAAAAAGAGTGCCCTTTTCACTCAAATGGAGTGCGATTTCATTCCAATTTATGGAGCGCAATTTTACTCTTTCTTAGAGTGGTGAATCATTCGAAGTCCACAATCTCGGTTTTCACTTTTCATTATACTTGCATTTTACTTTTCGACTTTTAGAGAATATAGTTTAGTTAAACATCAGAAATCTCGAAATTCAAGAAATCATAGTAATTGATATAGTTTTTTGCGCGATTGACAAGTTTCTGTGAAATTAAAAATGTAAAGAGCTTTTTCTATGAATTAAATTTTATGAAAGCGTGGTAGTAAAAAAATTTATTACATGAATATTAATGAAAGTAAATGTGTGTACATACATATATTATATATTTATTGTATGTACACTGTTAAATTCGTAGTGTTAAATTATACTCAATTTGAGTCATTTTTAATCATTCTTATTAGATCATATCACTGCTCCTATCACACTATGTCGTTACATAATTGAACTAAAAACCAATGGAGTTAAAAGAATACTGTTTTATGTTAAAATTATAAATTTCGACATACATATGGTAGTTAAAAATAACAAAATATTATTTAACTCAAGGTATTATTGGTTTAAATTTCGTCCTTTGATATTTAATAATGTAATTCCATATCGATACAGAATACCTCATACACAACCGCCGGTACTTTAATAATGTATTATAGAATTTTTTATTATTTATTATTTTAATTGATCCTAATGTCTAATGTCGGCCGCGTTTTCGAATTATATGCGATTGAAGATGGCTAATAATACCGCGCAGAATTAGAACAGTGATCACCTGTTATTGATTTCACATTAGCTTTTATATAGATGATATTAACTTTTGCTGTTCAAATCATTCTGTCTGTTATATTTCTTATATACACACATCGATATGTATGTACAATATAACAATCAATACTGACGATTATTAATTACATTGACAAGATTATTAATACCGATAATTACAGCAAAAAAGTGTTACATTACTCAATCTCATTTCTAACAATTTGAACTAAACTGAATTTTGATAGAGTGAAATAAATTGTTATTCCGGGTAAATGTTGACGAATTATAACTGAACGAGGGGGAAATTCCGGAACATTAGTTTGTTCACCGAATTCAATACGAAATTCGAATAGCGTGTGTCCAGAATTTATTTTTTACAAAATATAAAATTTTGGCCACTTGTTTTTGCCGCGTACAGTGATGTTGTGTTTACACAAGGGCTGCGTTCCTTTTGATGCTTTCAGCGCTGTAAGCATTATTCTATCTCCGTTGCACATTGAATATCAAATAGAGATGGAGCGACGCTTTCAGCGCTGAAAGCGTCAAAAGGAACGCAGCCAAGGTCGGCTCGCTGCCACTCGCACGGCGACATTACCGACGCGCGACGCGACGGTTCCAAGGGCGATCCGGGAGAACCTGTCGGGGCAGGTATTTTCTCCCCTAAGTTGAAAATTCGCATAATGCACAAATTGCCTTCGGAGATAACTAAATTTTCTGCGGAAGCTTGGGCCATCCTTCAGACTTTGATTCTGATCTTGAAATTCGAATACGATAAGATGGTTATCTTTTCAGATGCTAAAAGTGTATTGGAAGACATATGTTCTTAAGGGGATACTGGAGTGACGGACGAACTTCCTCGATGTCGATAATGTCAACTTCGTCTCAAATAAATTCTAAGGCCTGAAAACAGCGAAAAACTAAGACTATTCCAAAAAATCAAAATTTTTTGCCTACATAGCTACAAACTAAAGAAAAAGGATTTAAAAAATCGGTTACATCATAAAAGGTATTCTTTGTAGTTCTTAGATGATGTGTGATTTTTGAGAGATTTTTAATTCCATTTTAAATGACGAAAAAAAGTCACCGGCGCAACATAAAAAAGAACGATGAAATCGAGGGTTTTCGGGATCCGAGTCTCGGACTTTGACGGCGCGTGCAAGCTAAACGACTGACTTGACAATAAATGTTGTTCAGATCATTATTGTAGATAATTTTACGCTCTACAAAAAAGGTACGTATAGTTAGTAACCTTATCTTGCTTAGTTTTCGAGATATTTGAGAAAAAATAAAAAAAATCGCGTTTTTTGTTGTTAATATTGTTAATAAGTTTTTATTGCGCATTAATTTTGCCAAGCAAAATAAATCCCACTTAGAGCACCTCAAATCAAAGCGATTCATGGTGGTTGTAACCTGGGAAGATTATAATTGGAAGGTTAACCTTCTAAATTAGTCTAATATGACTGGCCCTAAATTTATTAATTATGTTAATATTGCTTTCCTTAAGATCTTAGAGACATATGTATATTCCATTATATATTGCCCTACTCCAAAACTTGCTTGTTTTCTTTTAGCTATCTATATTTCCATGAATTCATTCATTTATAATTCCTTCATCTGTCGAGGGGAGGGGGATTCATGGCAGCAACCTCGCGATCTGATTGGTCGTGCGACATTGAGAGCGCTGTTCGCGGCCTCAGACAGCTGACTTTGGGTGCATTCCGTTTCATGCATAATGCACGTAATTGCAAGCGATATTTCAAGGGCCCGCGGCGAATACGGGCCTTCCGCCGGGTTGCTGAGATGACGTCACTACCGATGCGCCGTAACCAATGGTCGGGCTCGA